CCAGTAACCCTTCTCTGAATCTTTTCCAGCAATTCAATGTCTTTTCTAGGGTAAGGAGCCCAAGCCCTGAATACAATATTACAAATGTGGCCTAACCATTGACCTTTACAATGAAATTATAACCTCTTTAGACTTGTATTCATTATTTCTGTAGATACAACCTAAAATCCTATTTCTCTACCACTAGAAACAGCACACTGTTTGGGTGGCTTTAGAGACTGATCAACTAGTACATCAAGATCCCTTTCCTTCATAACACTGTTAAGGTTATTCCCATCCAAGTTGTACTTATAATTCAAATTATGACAACCCACATGCATTATCTTGCATTTATTATAATTAAAATCCATCTGCCATTTATTTGCCCAACTCACTAAATAATCTAAGTACTTTTGTAAATCATCAGCATCCTCTTCACAGCTAGCAACACCCAAGACTTTAATATCATCTGTAAATTCAAATAATTTATTGATTATTTCTTCATCTATGTCAATGATGTAAATCAAAAAGAGCAATGGTCCTAAGACTCAGCTCTGAGCTACCCCACTTGTGAAATTAACCCAGTTTGACTGAACTCCATTTGTAACAACCCTCTGCTTTCTTCCATCCAGCTACTCTTCTATCCAATTTACTAACTTATCTCCCACACCTATAGAGATAATTTTCACAAGCCTTTTATGTGGTACATTGTCAAATGCTTTTTGAAAATTCAGATACACCAAATCTACACCCTTACCCTCATCTACATAAGCAGTAACCTTTTCAAAGGATGTCAAAAGGTTTGTAAGACAAGATTTTCCCTTAGTGAAACCATATTGACTATCCAATAAAATTCTAAATTTTGTTAAATGACTTTGCAAAGCATCTTTTAACAGACTTTCCAAAACTTTTCCCACAACTGATATAAGACTAATGGGAAAATAATTACTGGGACAATTTTTATCACCTCCCATGAAAAGAGGAGCTACATTGGCTAACTTCCAATCACAGTAGTAAGTGGCTTACATATCCAATCTTTAACCTCCTTCAAAACTCTTGGAGAAATATTATCTGGCCCAAGAGCCTTATCGTTTTTAAAACTTCCGAATTTTTTTCTTAACCAGCTCAGAATTAATGCAGTCAGCTTGTTCGATCTCGTTTCCATTTATCAACTGATCAAGAAGTAGAATACTGCTTAAATCTTCATTAGTAAAAAGTAAAATTTAATAACCCAGCCATCTCACAATCATCAGATACTAGCCTTCCATTATCATCTCTCAAGGGTTCTATTCCCATCGTCACATCATCCCTACCCCCATCCAAACATTTTGTTTACCCTTAATGTATTTAAAGAAATCCTTACTCTTAATTTTTACCTTTTTAGCCAACCTTTTCTCATACATCCTTCTTGATGTCCTAATTTCCTATCTCAACAACTTTCTTGATCTTCTATAATCTTCTAAATCCCCTGTCAGAACAGTCAATTTAAATTTCTTAAAGTTAAGATTCTTTTCTTTAATTGTACCTCATACACTTTTTGAGCCAACCTGTTTTTATTTGCAGTTACTTTCTGTAAGGAATATGTCTAAAATGAATATTTCAACATTTATCTTTAAAAGTTTTCCATATCTGATCAGTGTCTCCAAATAACTCAGCTGCCGAATTCACAACAGATAATTCTTGTCGCATCCCTTCAAAATTTGCTTTTTTGAAATTTGTAACCAAAGTATCATTATTCCTTATCTCCTTATGCAGCAAAACATCGAACATAATAGTGCAATGATCATATGCATCCAGATGTTCCCCAATTTCCACCCTCTTGCTCATTTTTATATTTGAAGTTAACAATAAATCTAAAATAGCATTGTTTCTAGTAGGTTCCTTGACTACTTGGTGAAGAAAGCCACCCTGAACAGTTTGCAAGAACCTTTCTCCCTCTAGAATTTCCCAAGCTATATGCCTGAAATTGAAATCACCCATAATCATGACTTCATTAACAGTTGAAATCTTAATCTCATTGTAAATTTTCTCACTAACTTTATCAGTATCATTTGGTGGTCTGTAACAAATTCCCACTAAAAGCCTTTTTCCTTTACATCTACTAATAGAAATTCAAATGGATTCAATCTCCTTGTTATTATCTCAACTTCAACAGGATCTAACTCACATTTTACATAAAAAGCCACTTCTTCCTCCTCTTTAATACACTATCCCTAACCTGTAACTGTATTTCAAAGAAATTTCTCTCATCAAAATCATCTACATTTAACCATGTTTTAGTTATTCCCATTTTATCAAAATCTTCCATTCCTACCAGTTCTCTAAGGTCATCTATTATATTTCTTATACTTCTAGCATTACAATTAAGCCTATCCTTATAACTACATGTATACTTATTTCCTATGCTAAATTTTTCTCTGCCTCTTATTATTTTTGCTGTGTAGTTCTAGTTTAAAACTTCTCTTACAACTGAGTTAATAGCCTTGTCGAACAAGCCAGCCCCTATTATATTTAAATGTAAACCATCGATTCCAAAAAGCTCCCTTCTTCCACTGAACTGATCCTACAAGTCCAACCAGCCACTCTGCTCATCCTTATATTCTCCCCTAAGTCTACCATTTAGACCTATTAACCTACTTATAACTTCATCGCACAGTTAATTCTGGGCAGTATTCCTGAGAAAAATTAAATTATGACCCTTTTCTTTAAATTCCTTTATCAACTCTTGTACTTATTAATTAGCTCCTCTGACTTACCTTTCCCTACATCATTAGCCCCTACATGCACCACAAAAAATGTATCTCTGCTAGCCCCTATATTATATCTCCTACTCTGTTAGTTATATCCTCCACTTGTTCCTCTGCATAATCTCACTCTTTTCTCGCTATTTACCACACAGACTATTATATCCATATCCTCCACTTGTTCCCCTGCATAATCTCATTCATTTCTCCCTATTTACCCCACAGACTATTATATCCATATCCTCCACTTGTTCCCCTGCATAATCTCATTCTTTTCTCCCTATTTACCCCACAGACTATTATATCCATATCCTCCACTTGTTCCCCTGCATAATCTCATTCATTTCTCCCTATTTACCACACAGACTATTATATCCATATCCTCCACTTGTTCCCCTGCATAATCTCATTCATTTCTCCCTATTTACCACACAGACTATTATATCCATATCCTCCACTTGTTCCCCCTGCATAATATCATTCTTTTCTCCCTATTTACCACACAGACTATTATATCCATATGCTTTGCACTGTGTTTTACCATATAGTAAAAATAACCCGCCCAACTATTGAACTTTTACAAAAAATAACTTATTCAACCATTGTGAGAAATTACTCATTTTCTTTAATAACTGTAAATAGAGTTAAAATTTTGTAAAATTTTGTAGATTGGTCATAATGTCTGTTACCAACTATATTACACTACTTAAATTCATGTATTTTTTTATCTTATGAAGGTATTTCATGGTGTTGCATACAAAGCAAAAAATCGTGAAGATCTATTGGCAGGTATCGACGAGTTCCTTGATGCTGTAACAGTGTTGCCTCCTGGTGGCTGGGATCCAAACATAAGAATTGAGCCACCGTTAAATGTGCCAACACAGGTAATGAAATAAGATTTTGGTAAAGAATACAGGAGTAATAAAAGATTTACTACCAAAATTTGATTCAATATTTATTACAAATTTTAAAGGTTTTTGCCAACCATTAAACTATTTAGCGGAAGGATATCTGTTAAAAACACACTGTAAAAAGGAGAAGTTATTAATATTAGCAGATGTGCACTTAGCTGCTTTATCTTAAATAGGTTGTTTCTAATATGGAGTATAGAATTTAGTATGTATAATCTATACTAGAAGATTTGACTTGTTAAATAAATCCAACTATTATTTTAACTGTTCACGTTTTATGTATATTTTGCCTAAAAAGGCTTTAAAGGTGTCTAATAATAATAAAATCTCAAAAATACATTAATTCTTTGAATTATCATTTTCTGATTTTTTTTAAATTTTCGGATGTGGTTTTGAAACAAGGAGCAAAAGATGATAGCTTGTAAATGTATATTTTTGTATAAACTAAAATTATATTATAAATAAACATACCCAGGATAAAATTCGGAAAGACATCATGTTTACTAGCGAAAGATTCTCGATATTTTTTCTATATAACGTAAAGATTGTTTGCTATACATACATATACTTTAGGGTGTCACTCAAAAATCATGTTTGTTATTTTCAAGTTCTACTTCTTGATTATATTTCTTTGCCTATGAAACTAAAGCATTTAAATTTTAAAGACAGTTTCTCAATATTTATTGATTGCTCAACGGAGTTGAAAAGTTATAACAATACATATAACACAAAAAGTATTAACATTAATGTCACATTTTGCGAATTCATTGGACAATGGTAGACTTCTTTGGTTTCGGATGTTCCTGATGATGCTTCTCCATCAGTTAAAGAAGGGACTGCTTTTGTTCCTCCTGGTTGCTTAGGGCATCGTTGAATGATTGAAGTAAGTATCTGAGTTGCATACATTCAGTCAGGTTCCTTTCTTCAATTACCTTGAACACTGCAGCCACTTGTGTTTCTCCAGTCCCATTAGGAAACTTCAAGACACTCATGATCTTTATAACCTCTTTCCGTGTTATGAGAACTGCAAGTCAGTCCACGCTCTAATTTGATGTCAGGACTGGTGGCAGCATCTTACCATCCCATCTAGTAAGCTCCAGAGAGAGCATAGCAAAGTCTAGCAACTCTCTGATTGATTGATTTCTTGATAAGAACAATTTCCACGAAATTGTGTCGCAGAAATTGCGCAGTGGCTGCCAGAAAATAGTAGCATATATGCCTTATATTTGTTAGGTTGAGTATTCATGATGAAATTTAGTTCAGTGGACGGCAACTGCCTGTTGTAGAAACACAAGTGTAGAGGACGACATTCATGTCATCGATTTTATTTTGATCCAATGCAGAAGTCAGTTCAGGATTGATGATGTTGGTAAGTTTTGTGCATCTTGTCTTTTGCCTCATCATCGCCACTTGGGGCTCCAATTTCTTGACACGTTATTGACTCCATCATTGATCACACAGCTTCTGAATTTTCTCTTTCTAGACTCACTCTGTAAATCCATTTTGTTGACACACATCTTTTCGCTTGGCCAGATTGGTGTCACCAGGCCCATGCTTTCCTACCCCGTTTTTCTCTCTTTGAGCCAGCATAAACTCGTCGTTCTCAGCCATTTCTGTCACGATCAAAGCACGTGCGATGTCGAACATCAGATTGAAAGTTTCCCCTATTTCTCCTCTTTGTTTTTACTACCTTCTCAACGCTTTCTTCTTGAGGCCTTGTCACTTGAAATGCAGGTCTTTGATCTTGTTGATGATGTGGACTCTTGCTGTATGTGAAGATTCTTGCCTTCTCACAGAAATGAAAGACCTCTTTTGTCATTCCCATAGAAATGATTTGAATGGTCTCATTCTCTTTGGAGAGCAAATCAAGAAAAATAGCCAAACACTTGCTGGTTCAAGGACAGTAGAAGTTTGCATTGGTAATAGTATCGAATTTCCTTCCATCTAACACCGGATATTTTCTTCTTCAAACAATCACTAGAAGATCCTGAGCAACCTGTAAATATTAACAGATTAGAATGAGATTTTCTGCAGTTGAGTTTTACATGAAACTCAACAAAGTTAAAGGGTGAGATCCAAGATAAATGAATCCTGGATTTTTCACACACGCTTTAATAAACGTAGTTATTTACATTTGGATACAGGGTACCCATGCATTGATCTAATAAACATAACAATGTAGGTAACGTAGGAAATTAAAGACCTGCCAGCTTCTAGTTTTTCTTGTTGGCCACCACTAGTAGGTAAGCCTGCTGGTGCTTCAGTAGTTAGCCAGAGAACTGATAACGCTAAAAACAGGCTGCAATACACACATGTATTCTTACAACAAAACATGCCCAGTACACATGCAACTAATTACAAACTGACTGTTCGAATTGTGTTGAGGAGTGGATTTTCAAGCCATGTTTAATATTTGTCCCTTTCATTTTTAATGCAATATTTGTAAAGCAGTGAGAGTTATAACTGTTCATACTGGTAAGCATAATTACTATAAAGTATTAATAACTATGATTGTTTGTTGATTTGTTGAATTTTTGTGTAAAGCTACTCGAGGGCTATCTGTGCTAACCATACCCAATTTTGAAATGATAAACTAGAGGGAAGGCAGTCAGTCAACATTACCCACCACAATCTTTTTATCAACCAACATTATGATGGACCATCACATTATCACGCCCCCACAGCTCAAAGAGTGAGCATGTTCGTCGACAGACTTAGATCACGCGACCTCAGCTTGCGAGTCGAACGCCCTAACCAGGCCACTAACTATGGATACTGGCATTGGTATACAGAAGTAGTATTTTCTGTTAGAAAAATTAACAAAAAAAAGTTGTACGTGAAAAACTGGCAATAGGTAGAAAATTGTCTAACTTGACTAGGTCAAGTATTTAGGTTACTGATACTGAATATGTTTAATATTAAAACTGCAATGTGGTAAGTATTACAAGTAGATTATGAATAGTATTTAACACCGATTATTAAGAGGCAGTTGTCCTCCACATCGGGGTTCTACACCTGTTTTCTGCAACTTCCGGTTTTGTCACTTAATACTTAGCTCAACTTGAAATCAGCGTTAGAATACACAATAGTGATAGAATATATGCAGACTCTAGATTCAGTAAAGTATATAAATTGTGGTTACTTTCACTTACATCAGTGAATAATAAACTTGAATTGCTTAGAAAAGGGTAACTTAATGATTAAAAACTTTATGAGCAGTATTCAAGATATAAAATTCAAAGTAAGTTACGTTGGTTACCTTATGAAGATCTGGAATCACGGCTTACAGAAAATTTGGGAGTATAATAAACAATTAACTTTTAGTTTATATCAATAACTTCTTCAACTGACTAGTATGAAAACGTATTTAATAATGTTCACAATTTCGTCTTAGGATTGAAAGATCAAATTTAGATTGATAATATTCCTAATATAATGAAATTTCTAGAGCACCAGTGTTAATTTTTTTTGCGAAATCGTCTGTCAATGTTGTAAGAAATCTGGATACCTTAGGGAACATTGCCCTGAACCATTATGCAGAAAGTGTAGCCGATTTGGGCAAACAACAGACGAATGTTCTGGGGAACCAGTCACAAGAGCAGTTTGATGAACCATGCAGTGAAGACGCTAAAGGATATCATAAGCAAGATCAACATTTAGCAATGTCTGAAAAGAAAAGGGATGAAATAGAACGACAGGAGGGAACAACGACTGATTCACTAATTCAATCTCAAGCAGTTATAATGACACACCACAAGGATTGAAAACTCTTCAAGAAACTTTTCATTCACAATGACGAAAACAACGACAAAAACTATTTTGATGTAGATCTGATTCTAATTACTGAAATTTTCAACTGGTATTTCAATATCAGAAGTTTTTAGTGTTAATCCTATTGGTGCTTCATATCAGAAGATTTTAGTGTTAAGCCTTCCGTTGCTTCATTATCAGAAGTTTTTACTGTTAATCCTACTGGTGCTTCATTATTATACGTTTTTTAGTCTTAATCCTTCCTCTGTTTCATTATCAGAAGTTTCTAATATTAATCCTACAAGTGCTTCATTATCAGAAGTTTTAACTATTAATCCTACCGGTGTTTTATGCCAGAAGTTTTTAGTGTTAATCCTAATTGTGCTTCATACAGAAATTTTTAGTGTTAATCTTCCCGCTGCTTCACTAGCAGAAGGTTTTAGTGTTAAGCCTCCGGTGTTTCATTATCAGAGGTTTTTAGTGTTAAGCCTCCCATGGTAGAGCATACAGTGGTTTTGAAAGGAACAGGAAAACCAGGGAATGGTTTCACAGTAAAATTGTTTAACATCTACGAGAAGTCCAACTTCAGAAAGACGAAGTTCTTCGAACATCGAATAAACTTGCGATCTAAGATTGTGAAGATATGGAACTTTCAAGCAATTAAGAATAGTTGTTACTTATAAGTTAATTTCTTTCAACACCGACAGTTTAAGAAAACAAAGGGCATATTACTTTATTCGTGTGTTACAATTTCATACAGTTTCCATACGAGAATAACGTCTGTTTACTGCTGATCAATATGAAATTTTTGAATGCGGGGTTAAAAATATTACCATTTTTTAGAGCTAAAGAGAACCCCGTGTTAGAAGATTTTAATTTAAAAAACGGTCTAGTCCTTCGTTTAAAAATATTTTAAAGATATAGATGGTAGATTAATTTATATTGATGTGAAAACTGAAAACAGAGGATGAAATTAATAAATCGTTATATATCCAGTTCCTCCATTATACTTGTCATAAGGTATTAGTGTTATTTTCACTTGCTATGGTGTGAACTCCTTTTGATGGTTGGCAAAACATGATTATAATCCATTATATTTGTCATAAGGCATTAATATTATTTTCATTTGTTATGGTGTGAACTCCTTTTGATGGTTGGCAAAACATGATTATAATCCATTATACTTGTCATACGGCATTAGTATTAGCTCTATTACATTTTAA